GGGAAGAAGCCGTAGCCTCCCGATGTCCTTGGTTGCTAAGGTGCCCCAAGGAAGGCGCAGGACGAGGAGGAATATGTAAATGATGAATAAGAGAGGCACAGCACTCGGAAGGATGATGACGATGGGGGAGGCGGGTATGAGACCATAACCAGGAGAACAAGTCAATGAGATGAGAGGAAGGGAGGGGTGCGCCTGAAAATTGTGCTTCTGCTGATAATCTTGTCACCAGAAAGAGAAAAAGGAACACGCACATGTTTCAATCATCACGTGAGTGCTCGGCGATGCACTTGCCTCGGGACGCGTGTGCCCGACCACTCGGGGAGAGGGCAATGTTGACATCCTCGAGCAATCCTGTGGTCCTCTTGGGCTTGTCTTTTAGCTTCATCCGGCCCTAGCGACGCACTTCTGGCTGTTCCAAGCTGTTTCGGGACCCGCTTCTATAGGGCTCCAGGTTGGGTCATCGTTGAGGTCCTGGTTGGATCGCGGTCGGGTCGCGGCTGAATTTTGGCTGTGCTCCAGCATGGGCCCTGGTTGGTCAGGGCCACTGTCGGAGCGCGCCGGGAGAAACTCCTGGGATTCCCGGCTGGATCATGGTCGGGCCTTGGTTGGGGTCTTGTTCTGATCGGGGGCTCCTTTCGGGTCGGACGAAAGGGGGGGATTGGGAAAGGGGGGGTTACGAAATCTGCTGCATGCAGCTGGTTTCGGCTTCACCGAGGGGCCCATTCCTCGATACATAGCCGCCTCCGACGCCGGGAGGCGCTGGCAAAATCAGCTACGTGAGCTGATTCTCAACCCCCCCCTTTGCTATTCCCCCCCTTTCGCCCGACCCGATCCTTGCTGGATCCTCTCCCACGGAGAGGGCTGGATTTGCAGAGCCCAGAGGATGCCGGTGCGCTGCCGATCATCGCCGACGACGTCACGAAGGCGTCCGCGCCGCGCAGCGGCCGCGCGCAGCGGGGGAAGGATGGGAGGGAGGAGACGGGACGGATTGGGAGGAAGGAGAAGGCGGGAGGAGATGAGAGGGAGGTGATGGAAAAGGTCATGTCGGGCGTGTCCCCCTACAGGGGGATTTTCGACGAAAAATAAAAAATGCCACAAAAATACCCCAAGAAGGTCAAAACATACAACAGAAAAGTAGTCCCCAGACTATGTTTGGACTATTTTTGGATTATTTCTTGGGTATTCTTTTTTGGTCGTCGAACATCCCCCTGTAGGGGGACAGGCCCGACCTAAGTTTAAGGAGGCGGAGGGAGGGGGGAGGGTAGGAGGGATGGGGCATCAGCACTGAGGCAGAGGGTGGCAGGGGGAGAGGGGGAGAGAGAGAGAGAGAGAGGGTGGAGGGAGGGAGCGAGGGAGGGTAGGGGATGAAGGAGGGGGGGAGGGATACGGAGAGAGAGAGAGAGAGAGAGAGAGAGAAAGAGAGAATGAGAGCGATAGAGAGAGAGAGAGAGAGAGTAAGGGCTTGGCATGGAGGGGAGGCGGCGGGGAAAGAAGGGAGCGACGTAGGGAAGAGGAACAAACACATATAATGAGAAGAGGGCGGCGAGCAAGAGGTGCAGCAGGAGGTGAATCCATATGAAGATGAGAGGGAGGAGGAAGAGGATGAGGACGATTCGAATGATTACGAGCATTAGAAAGGAAGGGACCCATGATTTGTATCTTGGCATTCCCACAATAGGAACTACTGCAGATCGTTTCGTTAAATGTTGCATCGTCTGTGACTGCCACCGCCATACAGGGACCTCTGCCGCCTGTGACTCTACATGGTGCTTTGTTGCGCATGTGTATAATTTGTTTGATGAGAGCGTTCATGATGTGAGTAAGTATGCGCTAAATGGTTTTAAGATGATTGTTTCATCATTGGCAGCCATCGTAGACCCCAAGCAGTGCGAATCTAGCCATATATATATATATGTATACATTGTGCACTCCAAGTGGAGCAATCCATGCTGCGCAATCTATGTTGTGAAACCTATGTTGTGCAACCTATGCTGTGCAGTAAGAGTGGTGCGACCTTTGAGGTACACCATATATTGTGCAATCGATGTGGTGTAATCTACGCTGTGCAATATAGATGGCGTACAATAGTATCGTACAGTATACGTGGTGCGCTCTTTGTGGTGCAACCTACATGAACCAATCAATGTGGAGCAAGACATGTTGTGCAGTATATGTTGAGCAGTCTATGTTTTGCAATATGTGCGTTGCATTGTGGATGTGGTGCGACATATGAGGTCCATTATATGTTGTTATGCATTATATGCGAATGGAGTTTTGTTGTTCACTCTATGTGGTGCCATCTATGTTGTCCAGTACATGGCGTAGACCTAAAGTTGTGCACTCTATGTGGTGCGATCGTTGCGGTGCAACCGATGTGAACCAATCAATGTGAACCAAGACATGTTGCGCAGTTGATATTCGGGCATATGTATTGTACAATCTGTGTGGTGAATTATTGTCCACCATACGTGGTGCAATGCGCGATGTATACTTTAGGTGGTGCAAGAAAGGTTGTACAATCTAGGTTGTGCATTCTCTGTTGTGCAACACGCATGGTGCGGTTTATGGATTGCAGTATATGTTGCTCAATGTTTGTGAAGCAATCAATGTGGTGCAACCTATGCGGCCAATTTATGTGTTGCAACACATGGTTTACAGTCAATATTGTACACCCTATATGGTGCGATCGTTGGGGCATAACCGATTTGAACCAATCAAGGTGGAACAATACGAGTTGTGGAACACATATTTTGCAAGCTATGCTGTACAGCCTGTGCGGTGTAAGCGATGGTGCAATCTGCGTGTTCAGTCTAGGTGGTACAACCTATGTGGTGCAAGCTATGTAGTTCAATCTCGGCTGTGCCGTGTATGTTGTACAATGCATGCGGTGCGATCTATGAGGTACAGCAGCCGCTGTGCAACCGTGATGGGGCAATCTATGTGGTACAATTCACTTGCCGAACTTGAAGTTGTCAACTCCACTGCTCGCGCAATCATCCCACCCACCCACCCGCAACTTGGTTTGCAAAACCCATGCGGGACCGAGCACAGATATCGCTCCGGGGTCGTCTTGGAGCCCTCGGGGGCGTCTCAAGAGCGCCCCAAGAAGGCCGGAGAAGCAAGACGGCCGACGACGACGATGACGACGGCGGCGACGACGACGACGCCGACGTCGACGACGACGGAGACGACGACGCCGACGCCGACGACGACGACGAAGACGACGACGATGTCGCTAACGAAGACGACGCCGAGGGAGGAGGGAGGACGACAACGGCGACAACGACGACAACGACGACAACGATGACAACGAGGGAGGAGGGAGGACGGCGAAGCGCGAACGACGAAGGAGGAAGGACGGCGACGCCGACGACCACAACGACGAGGGAGGAGGGAAGACGACGACGAGAAGACGACGACGACGACGACGACGACGACGACGACGGCGACGAAATAGGAGGGACGACGACGAGACGCCGACGACGGACGACGACGACGACGAGGGAGGAGGAGGAAGGACGACCACGGCGACAACGACGACGGAAACGACCACGACGCCAAAGAGGACGACGACGACGAACAGCAGGAAAGAAAGAGGACGACGTAGGCGACGACGACGACGACGACGCGGGAGGAGGGAGGACGGCGACGACGACGACGACGATGACGACGCAAGAGCGCGCGCGCACGCTTTTGTTGAAAGTCCGTGTTGCGAAACCTGGTGTTTTTGTAGGTTTTTTGGGCAAGCGATGTTGACATCCTTCCGAAACCGAAGGTTTTTGAAGGATTTCGGCATACGCGCGCGACGACGCGCGCGTCTGCACTTCGTCCCATTTCTTGCCGAGGATTCTCGCGACGGCACACGCGCAAGGGCGTTCGACAGATTTCGACATGCGTTCGCGCGAAGCCCGTTTGGTAGCATTTTGCGAAAATCTAGAAAACCCACGGTTTTCGTAACATTTCGCAAAAGCTCGCGCGTAAGCTTTTTTAGCAATCGGTGTTACGAAATCCTTTGTTCTTGTATGGTTTGGGGAACTCGATTGCGAAATCCTTCCGACACCGAAGGTTTTTGAAAGATTTCGGCATGCGCGCGCGAGGACGCGCGCGTGTGCACTTCGTGTCAAAAGAGGTTCGCCAAAAAGTATTATGTCAGAGCAACAAATGTCCCCGCGTATCGTTTTTGTACAAAGACACCTCAGGGGGGCCGATCCCGGCCACTCTGGGATAGTGCAAATTCATATTTAGGATGGACATGTGGTCAGAATGATACATGATTCACAGACCCGAAAGGGAGGGATAACGCCGGGGGGGGTAGAGCTTATTCTTTTGATAGAAAGGAGAATCATTGTGGTGCAATTCGCTTGCTCAACTTGAAGCTGTCCTCTCCACTGCTCGTGCAAACATCCTCCCTCCCACCCGCAACTTGGTCGCAAGACCTCTTAAGACCGTGACGGTGGGTACCACATGGCATTTGGCAACGACATCGACGCCGGCGACGACAGCGACAACGACGACGACGACGCCGCCGCCGACAACGACTACGACGACACCGACGACGTCTCCAACGACTTCGACGCCGACGACAACGACGACGACGACAACACTGACGACGACGACGACGACGCCGGCGCTGACGACGACGACGACTGCAACGCCGACGACGACGACGCCGACGACGACGACGACGAGGACGGCAACGACGAAAACGACGACGACGACGACGTCGCCAACGAAGACGACGACGACGACGAGGGAGAGGAGGGAGGACGACGACGGCGACGACGACAACGACGAGGGAGGAAGGAAGACGACGACAACGACGACGAAGAGGACGGCAACGACGAAGACGACGACGACGACGACGTCGCCAACGAAGACGACGACGACGACGAGGGAGGAGGGAGGACGGCGACGCCGACGACCACAACGACGAGGGAGGAGGGAAGACGACGACGACGACGACGACGACGACGACGAACTAGGAGGGACAACGACGAAAC